ACAGATTTGAAGTCAATATTTTTCAATAATTTTCTTAAATATTACAATTTATATATTTTGATAGCATATCACATAAAAATTAATAAAAAACCTTATTTCATATAAAAGATATTAACATTTCAAATTCTTTGGCGATTTTGATTGACACATTCCTGCACATTCGCAAAATTAATTTTATTCTTAATCCATAAGAAAAGTGTCAATCTAGTTGTGTATAAATGAAACATATTAATGCTAAAATCGAGAAAACTCAGAGTAAGCATGTTTAAAAGTAAAACAAACACACAATATATTGTCAGTCCGTGCAATTGTAATAAACAGACTGTGACGATATTAAACGCACCCGGTGAATTCTAAATATAAACAATAACAGAACTCGAGCCTTGTTTACAAAAACTGTGTACATAACACGGGTTAGCTCGATTTGCCAAACTCTGTACGCAACCCGTAGTTCGGAATGACGAATGAGTTTTGCTTTCTAGCATTTGTACTCGGAATAAAACTATTTTTCTGGATAAAAGTTTTAATAATTCTCATTAATACACAATAAAATTGCCACTTTTCCTAAAGAAAAAGAATAGGGTTAAAATTTGTGAAAGTGCAATGGTGTGTCAATCAAACCTGCCAAAAAATGTAAAGTTTTAATATCTTTTAAATGAAATAAGATTTTTAGTTAATTTCTTTGTAAAACGCTATCAAAATATATATGTCGTAATATTATAGAAAATTATTGAAAAATATTGACTTCAAATCTGTGTCCAAGTACCTTTAAGTAAGTCAAACAATAAAAAAATAGTTGTTTTATGTACTCTGACGGAGCTTTCAAAATCACCCTTACACAATAATTTTTGTCAGCACTTATATTTTTTTTCTCGTTTCCATAGTATAATTTCTATAGGATGCTTTTTGATTGAAATTTTCATGGCGGATCTAGTGGTGAGTGTGTGTGTTCCCATGGACATTGCAGAATTATTAAATGTACATACTTAACCTAGCAGTACAATTATTCTCAGCCATCCTTGGACTTTTAGTAAGACGTAGTATTCTCGGCACTAGTGTCTTTCAAATGGCAAATAAATTTTCATTGGTTAAAAAATTAATAACATCAGGTACTTTTAATCATTGTTGACAATCATTAGACAACTTACCGGTAACCTTACTTTCTTATATGTCCTGAATTAATTTCTATCCCGGCCACATATATTTCAACGATGAATGAAAGCTGTGTAAATTTTAGAGGCTAAATACATAACATCAAGAATATCCCGACTTACTGAAAGTCCTAAGATAACAGTGAATTTTACTAAAAGTGACCTTGGATGGCAGGACCCCTCCTTGGAAAAACTGATCTATGCAAAATTGGTATGAAAAGTCATTGGTATGATGCTTTAAAAGTCAACAACTCCCTGAGTAAATAGAATGTTCTATGTTAGTGATATTTTGATATGGATCTAGTGAGCATTTTTTCCATGAGTTTTGACACAGATTCTCGAACCTGAAATTGTCTGAGCTGATGAACATCATGATAGGGACTGAATAATTAATTTGTATGTATATTTGTATATTAAAAGTACCTGAGGAATAATACATGCATTATGAACTTGGTCTAGTTTTACATGTAAAAAAAAACTCTTTTCTGTTGCTCTGTGCCTAAAATAAAAACATTTAATCAAGACATCCAAGATGGTTTAATTTGACTTGTATTGGAGTTTAGGCAATTCAATTATACTTCTTTAAAATTCTATTCTAATAATGAAATTAAAAAAAAAGATTTTTTTCTTCTCCAGCTTTTTATCATGCTACATGACACAGCACAAAGTCCTGACTCATAAGTTTGGGAAGGACTCTTCATTCATTTGGGGGAAAATGGTTTGATACAAGTTTTGCATGCTGGTCCAATACATTATCTGGCTTTTTGGAACTGTGTTGCTTGGTGCATATTGATGTTAAAATAGATAAATGTGTAGGTGTATAATATTATTAAGCGCAATATGATATCAAAAACTATTTATGTAGGAAAAGAAAGAACTGAATAATCACTGGGAAAGTTATGCTATTTTTTTTTAAACAAGTATCTTGATAAACCAAGTTTAACATCAACAAAAAAAAACTTATATAATTGTCTCCCCTTTCACTGAAAGTGGGGATACTACATTAAGGTCTGTGCATCTGTCCGTGTGTCTTTCTGTCTGTCTGTAACACTTTCAAGAAGCCTTTGCATTGAAATTTTACACAGCAACTCTCTGTGGCTCGACGGAGACCCTTATTAGCTCACCTGAGCCGAAGGCTCAAGTGAGCTTTTCTGATCACATTGTGTCCGACGTCCGTCCGTCCGTCTGTCCGTCCGTAAACTTTTCACATTTTCGACTTCTTCTCAAGAACCACTGGGCCAATTTCAACCAAACTTGGTACAAAGCATGCTTGGATAAAGGGAAATTTAAATTGTTAAAACAAAGGGCCAAATCCCTTCACAAGGGGAGATAATCAAGAAAAGACAAAAATAGGGTGGGGTCATTAAAAAATCTTCTTCTCAATTGCAAGGAGCACTGGGCCAGAAAAGCTGAAACTTGAAAGCATCTTGGGGTATTGTAGATTTTAAATTTTTTAAAATCATGACCCCCGGGGATTGGGCGGGGCCACAATGGGGAATCAAAGTTTTACATAGATATATATATAAGAAAAAATCTTTAAAAATCTTCTTGTCAAGACCCACTGGGCCAGAAAAGCTGAAACTTAAGTGAAAGCGTCCTGGGGTAGTGTAGATTCTGAATTGTTCAAATCATGACCCCCGGGGATTGGGCGGGGCCACAATGGGGAATCAAAGTTTTACATAGAATATATATGAAAAATCTTTGAAAATCTTCTTTTCAAGAACCCTGGGCCAGAAAAACTGAAACTTATGTGAAAGCATCCTTGGTTAGTGTAGATTCTAAATTGTTCAAATCATGACCCCCGGGGGTAGGATGGGGCCACAATGGGGAATCAAAGTTTTACATAGAAATATATAGGAAAAATCTTTGAAAATCTTCTTCTTAATAACTACTGGGCCAGAAAAGCTGAAACTTATGTGAAAGCATCCTTGGGTAGTTAAGATTCTAAATTGTTCAAATCATGACCCCCGGGGATTGGGCGGTGCCTCAATGGGGAATCAAAGTTTTACATAGAAATAGATAGGAAAAATCTTTGAAAATCTTCTTCCCAAGAACCACTGGGCCAGAAAAGTTGAAACTTATGTGAAAGCATCCTTGGGTAGTGTAGATTTCAAATTGTCTTAATTATGATCAGTGGGATAGGGTGGGGTCACAATATGTATTACATGGGGGAAATCTAGTAAAGAACAAAATGGTCAAAGCTTCTTAGGTGAGTGATGTGGCCCATGGACCTTTTGTATTAATTTTTGGTGTCAATGGTCATGTGATATCAAAATTTTTTTTGCTTTGTGGGGATGTAGTTATGTGGGTAGAAAGTATATACATGTACAAAAGATAAAGTTATATATACGTTGATGAATTGACTGTTTTGGGGATGTAAATTCATTGGTAAGGGTGACCCATGAATTTGGTAAATAGTGTTCCCTCACAACCTCTGATGATTCCACATTAGTTTACCTTTGTAAAAGTAGCAGAATAGAGAAAAGGATGATAATCATTATTATATAAGGCCAAAATAAAATTACAGTTTGTTTGGAATTGCTGCCCGCCTCATTGAAATACCCCCCGCTCAAAAAAATTTATTGGCAAAATATCGGAATTTTTTTTTACCGTCTTATGTCCAACATTTTACAAGTTAATTCGTTCTTCGAAATAGCTTTTTGTAGTCGGGTTTGAGCTCGCATAAATTTAACAACACCGGTCAATAAAACATTTTCTTCATAGTATTTATGATATAGGGAATGTAGGTGGCCATTTGACAAAATGAAAGCCGCCAAAATGTCAGACCAAGTTGGATCATTGGATGTGAAAACATTCAAGCATTGAAGACCAGAACATTTATGCATCTTCATAAAAATAAAAGATGAATTAAAAATTAAATGGAATGATACACCGATACCTGGAAAGTGCTATTGTAATAGATTGCCCTTTGAACTTGATAAGTCCGTAATGTTGAAATTATAAATGATCGCACAGTTCCCAGTTAAAAAATTACACGGGTCAGAAATGTTTATTCCAAAATACAAAAGGAAAAATGTTGTCTGTCAGTATGACAAGTCTGAAACCTACTGATTCATGGCGAACACTCTAGAAATACCAAGCTTACCCTCCCGTTTTTCCACACAACATCCCAACTAATTTTGTGTGGTTCGCACTCTTTGTAAGGGTTGTCTTAACGAAGGGTTAAATTTCAAAGAAAAATGTTATGAAATACACTAATGAAATTGTTCTAAAAAGATTTGTAAAGAAATTATTTTAAAATGATTTTTAAAATAAAGAAAAAAGTTTGACGCTGAAATTTGACTTTTAATAGATAAGAAAATCTAACATCGAAGAAAGAATGAGTACCATTCTGTGTATATTTTAGACAAAAATGAAATTAATCAACTAAAAGAAAGAGGGAAATTAATGAAAATCACCACTGCATGTTCATTGCGATTTTTAATTTCTAATTATTAGCTTCAATTTGTAAAAAAAAAATATATTCCCTCCCTCCCTCCTGGGTCTGAAAACCCCCAGGCGGCAATTCCATACAAACATTTTCTTTAAGGATGGCCTAAAGGTACCTAATTATATAAAAATGACCCAAAACTTTGCTCTTTACAGTAATACATATCCCTTTAGTGTATAAAAGGTTGGTATTTGGAAACATCTTTTAATAATTTCAGTAAACTCAATGGGTTTTAGAAGGAAAAAACATAAGTAACTTTAAATTCTAAATGTAGAAGTTTAAAAAAGATGCATTAAGCAAAAGTGGATGAGACTTTCAGCTTTCTTTTAGTTTGAAATGGCCATGGTATTTAGATATCATTATACAGAGATTCAACTGTGTATGTTCCAACTTTTCAGGTCCTCAGGCAGCATCTCACCAAACCAAGATCCCTAGCCCCACCGTAGCTGGATTTGATGAGTCCACAACTGGTCAGATACGACTGGATGCATGGTCTTCAAGTGGTACAGGGTAATGTGCAGAGTTTGTCAAATTTAAAAAAATTGGGGAAGGGGGGGGGGCGCCATTGAAAATGTATATAATAAATTTATTTTATACCCATATGAATACGGAAAACTTGATATTTACTTTTCACACCTTTCACATTTTTCAACTATTTTGGGATACACAGAACTGTTTGAATAGAGTTTCTTATTATTTTAACATGGCACCAATAGCCTACCATTTTGTTCAGTTTTGGATATCTAAAAATAGTGATTATCTTTCTGTTTTTAATGAAATTAAATGTATTCACTGTTGATAGTGAGGAATAATTGTAAATTTAAATATATGTATTATTCAATTACAGAAACCATGTAAAGACTGAAGATAAACAACTGTCTTCCTGCCAATTCTCCTCAGCTACTAGTGACACTGTAAGATATTTTACCAACCATTTCTATTAAATTGATATTGTTTAAACACAAGGAAATTGGCATAATCTGTTTATACACACATATAATATATTAAGTCTTAATTTTAACCTCAGTGTATTGATTGCATAGATATCTTGAAGTTTTTTCTTGGTTTCATCAAGTTCAAGAAAAAGTTGACTATGTATAGAAATAAGAGCTAGACTTGATGGTTTTATTCAGTCTCCCCTACCAGAGAGGCACAGGACCTCACCCCCTCGACGGGCCTCCCCACACCCTCCACCACCTTTGATCCACACCGGCAATTTACAGAGCAATAATACCCAAAGTCCTTCCCAGGGGAAACAGATGCCTGAGAGTAAAGATGACGACCCTAATGAGGACTACTGTGCTGTTTGTCAAATTGGAGGGTACCTGCTGTGCTGTGACAAGTGCCGCAAGGTGTATCATCTCAAGTGTCACATCCCAGAACTTAAAGAATGCCCAAGGTAATGTGGGGCATTAGCATTTGCAGAAATTTTGTGGATTTTTGAATATGTTGATCATTTGATGTATGAGTAAAGAAGCATTTTTTGAGACAACTGCACTTTACCGGTACGTCCAAATAACATGGAAATAGCACGTGCTCTTTCTCTATAAGAGAGTCACGCGTCAGCGTGACGATTTCGCTAAAAAGGCAATAAAATGCAAAAATAACCTATTTTTAGCTCACCTGAGCCGAAGGCTCAAGTGAGCTTTTCTGATCACTTTTGTCCGGTGTCCGTCTGTCTGTCTGTCCGTCTGTCTGTCTGTCCGTCTGTCCGTCTGTCCGTCTGTCTGTAAACTTTTCACATTTTCAAGAACCGCTGGGCCAATTTCAACCAAACTTGCCACAAAGTATCCTTGGGTGAAGGGAATTTAAGTTTGTTCAAATGAAGGGCCACGCCCTCATTCAAGGGTAGATATTTGGGAATTAATGAAAATTTGGTGGCATATTTTAAAAATCTTCTTCTAAAGAACCACTGTGCCAGGAAAGATGAAACTTATGGGGAAACATCCTCAGGTAGTGTAGATTCAAGTTTGTTCAAATCATGACCCACGGGGTAGGGCGGGGCCAAAATGGCCGACCAAACTTTTACATAGAAATATATAAGAAAATTCTGTAAACATCTTCTTCTCAAGAATGACAGAGCCATTATTCATCATATTTATATGGGAGCATGCTCAGGTAGTGTAGATTCAAATTTGTTCAAACCATGACCCCCGGGGGTAGGGCGGGGCCAAAATGGCCGACCAAACTTTTACAAAGAAATATATAGGAAAATTCTTTAAAAATCTTCTTCTCAAGAATGACAAAGCCATAATTCATCATATTTATATGGAAGCATGCTCAGGTAGTGTAGATCCAAGTTTGTTCAAATCATGACCCCCAGGGGTAGGGCAGGGCCAAAATGGCCGACCAAACTTTTACATAGGAATATTTAGGAAAATTCTTTAAAAATCTTCTCCTCTAGAATGACAAAGCCATAATTCATCATGTTTATATGGAAGCATGCTCAGGTAGTGTAGATCCAAGTTTGTTCAAATCATGACCCCCAGGGGTAGGGCGGGGCCAAAATGGCCGACCAAACTTTTACAAAGAAATATATATGAAAATTCTTTAAAAATCTTCTTCTCAAGAATGACAAAGCCTTAATTCATCATATTTATATGGAAGCATGCTCAGGTAGTGTAGATTCAAGTTTGTTCAAATCATGAACCCTGAGGGTAGAGCGGGGCCAAAATGGCCGACCAAAGTTTTTAAAAATATATAAAGGAAAATTCTTTAAAAATCATTTTCTAAAAATAGCAAACCCATGATTGGTCATGGGACTACTTTTGGATTAAAACTTTACAATAAAAACCCATTTTCTACTTTTTCCTACACTTAGTGCTCAGGTGAGCGATGTGGCCCATGGGCCTCTTCTTTGAATCCCTCGTCATTTTTCATGTAAATAAACTTCGTTTAATTAACGAAGTTATTAATTAAAACTAAAAGCACTTTCAAAACAAACCTTTGGCTTTCATTTTGTCGGTCACATTCCAAAGTCGTGACGATGTTAAGCACGTGACTTATTTCAGTGCTGTGATTGTTCAGGGTAGGTGACGTGAACTAGAAAGTTTGAGTTCCACTCTATTTGATTGTAAACAGTGATTCATCATGCACCTTATTTAAGATGATTTGTGTTGTGTTTTCTATGAATGGATATTTTTAATTGACTGACTGCAACATTCTAGAATTTTTGGAAATTTTAGCGATAATGTGATCCTTAGTTTATGGAAATTTTGAATAAGTGGAGGGGCAAAACTTGTAAACATGCAGTGAGACCGGTCTTGTTTCGAGAAACAGCAATCGGCAGTAAAAGAAAAATGAAACGTAAGAGACACATCTTAGATTTCTGGAAACAGAGCTGCAGTAAATCCTGGATTTATGAACTAAAATTTATCTATTTCAATTTGCAAAACACTGGATACTTTACAATCACTGAGACCACATGGAAAGCAGTTATGTAGGAAATCTCTACTAAAACAAGAATGCACTAGGATAGTAGCTATAATTAAAAATTGACGTTTATCTCCTTCATCGCCCATAAAAACGTATTTACAACTCATCAAAAAAGACACACTGGTTCTACATGTATAGTGACACGTACGTATGGCCCCGAGTCTTAACGCAGATTTATCTACCGACTAAGGTAAGTTTGTTTTATTTATTTTTACATATTGGGGGCTGCCCCCCCACACCCCCGCTTAAAAAAGCGAAAACCCATTTAGATATCTTTTTTTCTCGCTTCGAGAGTTTCTTACACAACAAAATCGCGTCGCCCATCGTAGTTGATACCTTGCTAAGTTTTTACGCCGCGCACTCTCACGCGCGGATCTAGAATCAAAATGGCGGCCGTACCGGTAAAGTGCATTCTATCCCATTCTTTGGCAAAAGTTATTCTTTATATGTGGGAATTAGGTGCTTTTAGTGAAAATGTTTATGTGCTTGTAGTGATGAGTGGCAGTGTACTTTATGTACAAAGGCTGATGACATGGTGTTGAGCAAGATTGAAAAGAAAGACTTTACAATGGGTCCAGGAAAAAGAAAGGCACCGTCAGGACTTACAGAGAAAGAATTAAAGGTAGGCAAAGTTACAGGTCAAATAGAGAACAGAGTTAGAGGAGGTAAAATTATACAATGGTTACAGAAAAAAGAGATTGGTTTGCAACATCATAAAAGATTTTCTTTTAGCAAAAAATTCAGTATTGCATGTAGTGACATTTTTATTTGGTGCTGTATTACTTTTTAGCAAAATAATGGAATGAATTACATATTTCATTCCTATCTTGAAATAGACAGGAACATTTATTATTGATTGTGATTTTTCTCAAAGCTACAATGAATTGAACAATTTGAACTTTTGAGACTACAGTGTTTATAAACTGATCATGAAATAGGATGTTGTGCTATTAAGATATGATTTATTGTAGATAAAATTAAGAATACATATTACATACATGCTTTACAGGCTTGTGAACGGATCCTCTTAGAGCTGTACACCAATAAAGACAGTGCTGTGTTTCATGAACCTGTTCATAAATTGGTATGTATGAAAGATTCTTATGATTTTATCAGCTGAAATGTGCTAAATTTAGAATAAAAACATAGCTGATGAAGACAACTGAAGATCAAGTCTGCTGAGTTTATCTTTAAAGTCCACTTACATTGTACCAATTGAAAACTGAATGTTAGTTAAATAAGAAATGCTTGAAAACAACAAAGTATGATGTTAATTTCTTTGAATGAACTTATTGATTAGACATGCTGAGGGTTAATGTTTCTAAGCCAGAAAAAGTAATTTTTTTTTACAGTTTATATATGGCATTCAATACTTTTGCTTATTTTCTTCTAAAAGCTTGATTGTATACTTCCCCCATACCCAAGTTATATGCAATTTTTATCATAGATTAATTTTTACTGTTTGAAAGAGAAAAGTCAAAAGTTTGTGAAAATTTCAACTAAATAAAGAAATAAAGGTATCTGTTTCAAACGATGAATAACTGTTTGCTCTCTGGAGACACTAAACTATTTTGTGTTTTCTCTTTGAAGGTACCAAACTATTACAAAATCATAACCAGACCAATAGATTTCTCCAAGATACGATCTAAGCTTCAAAGACAGAATCTCAACCACTATAATACAGTAGAGGAATTCCTGAGTGATTGTAAACTGGTCTTCAAGAACTGTGCTACTTACAATTCGGTATGTATATACATGTATTTATGCTGAACTAAAACGTCAATTTTAAAATGGTTTTTAAAATTTAAGTATTAGCTTTGAAGTTATTAAATGTAGATTTTGATTGCCTCTAGAAATTATATTTTAAAACAAAAGAATACCCTGGTAATGCATTGTTATTTTAGGTTGGAACTCCAATATATGACCAGGGGAAAATGCTGGATGAAGAGTTTGAGCGTCTGGTACAGAAGTTTTTGCCGTGTTATTTTGATATACTGGATGACCTTGACACCAGGACAGACACGCCTGTGAGTGACGCGTCGGACAGGGGACCTAGAGAGAAGAAATAGAAGAAGCGATATGAGGATGATCCTGACGCCTTGCCCCTCCATATTCACTGATACCGTGTCACATAGGGTTTTAAATGGATTGTAATTATGTTTTTTGATGCCACTGTCTTAATAGTCTTTGACATTTATCTGTTTAGGTGAAAAGTTGTTATGATCAAAAATTTAAATGAAATGTAACAGATTGGCCCATTGATAATTAGAAAAAAAATTGTTGATTAAGAACTTTATTATGAAAAACCAGTATTTTCCAATCAACATGAAGCATGCTGCAGGGAAAGTATTTTATGAAGGCAACTATTTTTCTATTTTATTAATTTGTAGATAGATAATTATAATAATTTATGTCTGTTATTTTACTTTCCACTTCCCAAAACCATAGACCCATTAAGTGATTGTAAATTTTGTTTATTGTTAGGAAAGTTTTGTGACAATGCTTGCTTTAATGTTAAATAAGTTACAAAGTTTGTTTTTCAAGTGCATTGCCTTGATATTTCTGTCGAGTTACTGGTCTTAAAAAAAAGAGTCGTACATCATGTAAAACCTCACATTTTACATATTATCATTTTCAACACATGTACAGTCAGAAAATAAATTTGTCATTAAAGGTATAGTGTCTTTTCCTGTGAGTGTTTTGTGTTGAGATAACAATTTTTTAAATTTGGTCCCATGATGATGATAAATAAAGAATTTTTAAAAGATCTTATTTGAAGTTCATTTGGCTGTGGTGTTAGGTTAGAAGTCTGTGTGAAATTTTTATGCCCCACCATGGACAGGAATAAATTGTTTGTCATGTTTGTTAGCTCACCTGAGCCGAAGGCTCAATTGAGCTTTTCTGATCACATTTTGTCCGTCGTCCGTCCGTCTGTCTAGCTGTCCGTCCGTCTGTAAACTTTTCACATTTTCGATTTCTTCTCAAGAACCACTGGGCCAATTTTGACCAAACCTGGTACAAACACTACTGGACGAAAAAAGTGCTGAGAATCCCAAATTTTACTGATAAAGTTTGATAATTACTGATACTGTGCTGTTGTTGCTGATAAATACTGATATTTACTGTTATTATTACTGTTGTTGCTGATATTTTTTGTTGTTTCTGATAAATACTGATAATTACTGTTGCCTTTTACTGTTGAGTCTGATAAATACTGATAAATACTGCTGAGGTACTGTCGTTGCTGAGAATTGCTGATAATTACTGTTGAGGTACTGTCGATGCTGAGATTTACTGATAATTACTGTGGTCATTGTTTTTAACCTGGTAATTGGTTTAAAATAAAACAGAGGGCTATTAAAACGTTCAATTATTACTTTCTTTTTCTTGAATTGTCATGGCAAAATTTTCATATTTTTTTTAAATGTTCTGCTTGTGGCAAAATTACATGGTTGTATGTATGTATGCTGATTTCAATTTCTACATTACGTTAACTTTGTGAAAATTTTGACAATAATCAAATGAATTATTAATAGAATGAATATATAGAACTAGTATTAATTAAAAAAAAATAACTGCAGAAAAAAATGGAATTTTACTTTTGCATGAGATCTTATTGAAAAATAAACTGTAAATAAAAAGAAAATTATGCCATCTTAAAAAAGATCCATCGCCGCCTCCCCGACTCCAAGAAAATTATGTAGGGAGATCGGTGATCTTTTTTTTTTCAATAATAAGAAAAAAGTTCTTAATATATGGGAAAAAAATCGGGATAAAAAAAGTTTCCTGCAGGTTAGAAAAGTTGGATTTGTTCCGTTTTCACTAGGTCAACTGGTCGAGTTTGGACAACATTTTGTGTTTTAAGGCCTTTTTTCTCGAAAACAATTATATTTATCTTGTTAAATGTTCAGTTGTCTTGTCTCTTTTCGTCGAAATATCTGAAAATTTGCTCGAAAATTAGAAATTTTATCCCTTTTAAAAAGTAACTAAGAGGTGAAAACAGGTTTGAATATGTTCAATCTGTGGGCACTGATTTTAATTAATAATTTATTTATTCATTCATTTATTTTAATGTTATGTAGACGTTTGTAGATCATCCAAGAATTAAACTCCTCCACATGTACATATGTACAAGTACACACTGTATGCATGTGCAACCTACAAATGGGGCGAGCTGATTAAAAGTTAGAGGTTAAGAATCCCTAGTACAAAGGTACACGTGTTTGGTTTGTCTCTTAAAATTTAAATACAAAATCATTTTTTATTTAATCAGTTTTGAAATCTCATTAATTTTTTTATTTGATTTTATGGAATGGGAAATAAGAACTGAAATTAGAAATAACTTAATATGTTACTATTAGTATATGATCAAATTGATCGATTTTAATTTTGCACGGTAAAAAGTTGAAAGGAAAACACCTTTAAATTGATTTCAATTGATCAGGAATCGGTGATCGACCTGTGATTTGGCTGTATTGTGTACATGTCTTCAGCCCCGGGGTAGAACGGGGTACAACTTGTATATTCCATGCAAATTGTAGTGGTCAGCGTAACAATGGGCACTAATTACCTATTGTTCTTCGTCTGCGGCTACCGGTGTTTTCAATAAACAAACTACCTACACTGTACATGTACTCGCTACTTTGGAACAGTCATAAAGTTTATGGTCGCACGAAAAAAAAAATTCCATAATATTGAATTTGATGACGAATAAAATTGATAGAAAAAATATTTAGAATAGAACACCTTGTTACTATAATGAAAGAAAAGATACATATATGTACATCATGTACGTTGTACAGACTTATTTTCATTTTTATTTCAATTCTCAAAGATCTATCTTCTTCAGTATTTAATTTCATTTTTTAGTTTTACGCATATTTCTTCAATCAATCAATCATTTATTTGAATCTTTTTACCATTTTACTTTAGTATACATAGACCACAAAAACATAAAAAATGTAAGTGGTTTTATACATAACAGTAGGTCTAAAAGGCATGCGTGAATAAGAAACTAAACAAAAAAAAAATTTGTAGGTTGCTATAAATGCGAAGTAAGGGAATTTAGGCCGGGGAGTATATTTTGTTTATCAGATAAAAGAAGGTGGTCACATGTATTTTCAATTCTGAATCTCTGCTAATGATTGTTTGGGACCGGTAAATACGTAGACGAGAAATTGACTTCACTTTTTAATAAAAAAAATGTGCAAAATATACAATCATATAGATATAAAGAGAAAGATTCTTTAGTGAAGCACTTTTTTGAAATAATATTAGCATGAATTGTTCCCAATTCAGATGCAGGGAAACTCCACTTCGCTTAATCCGAGAAAAAAAAAACGTTAAAAGTATGTATTTTGAATGTCAGAAACATGACGTTGTGTATCGATCGCACTCATGAATAAATGTTATATAATAATTACTTCAGTTCTAAAATTTGTATTGTTCATTGCAATTGATTCTCTAAAATAATTTTATTCATGCATATAAAAAATTCGATAAGTATAATATCATAACTTGCATGACTTTTAAAACACACAACTAAAGAACAGACCTTGCCCTATCGGCTATCACTTAATTGTAAACAGTATTTCACCCCCTCCTTTTTGTGCTACAATCACGTAAAATCATATAAATAAGCACCAAGTCTGTACTGCTCGTTTATACAAAGGTCTCAGACAAAAATGGAATTAAAAAAAAATTATAATCACTGCACAAAATTCTAATTTTACAAAAACGCAAGCCGTAACGATATCCCTGTGGCAGAATGTACTAATAATTGACCCGATTCTAAAACGAAAGTAGAACTTTTACACGTGGTTGACAGGTATGTTCAATAACAACAAGCACAAAGTTTGCATTAATGGAAAAAGTTAATTCAAGTTATGATTTATTTTATTTAGTTTTTTAACTGACTGACCGCATATAACATGTTTAAGGAGTGGCGCATAATATTAGAAGCCATATGCACATAGACTTAAAACAAAGAAAGACGTATATTTCATTGACTGAAAATCACACTGCATAAGATTTATGTCATGTAGTGTACAATACTTAAGCCTTAACAAATAATTCAAAAGAGACAGTGTGTGTGTGTGAGGGTGTGTGTGTGTGTGTGTGTGAGAGAGAGAGAGAGAGAGAGAGAGAACTAGAAAGCGACACGATATAAAATTCGCAGGGAGGACATCGGAGAACTAGAGCGCGCTGTCTACATAATATATATATAAAAAAAATAATTAAAGATGCTTCAATTTAATTATTTAACCCTGTCACATTCTTCTATAAAATAACAAAGTGTACGCTTCAAGACTAGATTTCATGAAAAATATTTAATACTGTCTTGTTAAAATGAGAGCTTAATTTAAAAGTAATTGGAAAAGGGGGGTGGGGTGGGTTCAACTTAATGTGCTCATGCATTATCAGTTCTCCACACGGTAAAATAAATTGATATTTACAACCATTGACTGTATTGAAGTATTAAAGTTACCCACAAAGCTTTTGATGACAGTACACATACATGTGAGAAAAAATATGAGATGAGATTTTTTTTAACCTTTATGAACAAAAATTAAACTTTTTAAAGAAGTACTTGGGAAGAAAAACCACTGGATATACAACAGAATAATTTTCCTCTAATAATGTCATCTACGTGTAAGGAGAAATTTAAAGAAAAAACATAAATATTTATGAAAGCTTATGTTAACATTATGGTCTAAAAATAATTATAATGAAATTAATAGATGAAAACTGAATACAAATTAATAAAATGTGACTTTTTTATTTAGAATAATTTATTTTGTAGTTGACTGTAATGAATTTGTTAAAATACTTTAAAAAAAAAAACAACAAATAATCATTTCTCAGGCTATTCTAATCCATTCCCAGGTTAAAAACAATGACCACAGTAATTATCAGTAAATCTCAGCATCGACAGTACCTCAACAGTAATTATCAGCAATTCTCAGCAGCGACAGTACCCCAACAGTATTTATCAGTATTTATCAGACTCCACATTAAAAGACGACAGTAATTATCAGTATTTATCAGCAACAACTAAAATTATCAGCAACAACAGTAATAATAACAGTAAATATCAGTAATTATCAGCAAGAACAGCACCGTATCAGTAATTATCAAACATTATCAGTAAAATTTGGGATTCTCAGCACTTTTTTCGTCCAGTAGTGAAAGCATCCTTGGGTAAAGGGAAATTTAAATTGTAAAAATGAAGGGCCAAGTCCCCTCACAAGGGGAGATAATCAACAAAAGACAAAAATAGGGTGGGGTCATTAAAAAATCTTCCTCTCAAGAACCACTGGGCCAGAAAAGCTGAAACTTATGTGGAAGAATCCAGGGATAGTGTAGATTCTAAATTGTTCAAAACATGACCCCTGGGGGTCGGGCAGGGCCACAATAGGGAATCCAAGTTTTACATAGAAATATATATAGGAAAAATCTTTGAAAATCTTCTTCTCAAGAACCACTGGACCAGAAAAGCTGAAACTGATGTGGAAGCAATCTGGGGTAGTGTAGATTCTAAATTGTTTAAATCATGACCCCCGTGGGTAGGGCGGGGCCACAATGGGGAATCATAATATGACATAGAAATATATAGGAAAAATCTTCTTCTCAAGACTCACTGGGCCAGAAAAGCTGAAACTGATGTGGAAGCACCCTGTAGTAGTGTAGATTCTAAATTGTACAAATCATGACCTCGGGGGGAAGGGTGGGGCCACAATGGGGAATCAATGTTTTACATAGAAATATATAGGAAAAATCTTTGAAAATCTTCTTCACAAGACCCACTGGGCCAGTAAAGCTGAAACTTATGTGGAAGCATCCTGGGTAGTGTAGATGTCAAATTGTGTAAATTATGATCATTGGGGTAGGGTGGGGTCACAATATGTATTACAAGGGGGAATCTGGTAAAGAACAATATGACAAAAGATTCTCAGGTGAGCGATGTGGCCCATGGGCCTCTTGTTGATTTTGTGATCAAAGGGTCAAGGTAATTAT